ATTTCGCGCATCAAAAATACTTTCGAACTTCACTGTATCTTTAATTTGGTAGTACTCACCGAATGCTGTAGCATGAGATATTCCGCCTTTCAAGTTCGCCCAGCAGTATTATTTACTCATTATTTATCTTTACTTTTCTTTTCACTTTTCTTCACACTATTTACTTTTGAATTAAATTTTGTATGTTGAGTACGCTCATTCTTTTGCACGTGTCTTTTAAATATACCGAAAAAATTTGTTAGGTTTTTTTTTTAATATGTCAGCATATCGAACAAGTTATACCAATTAGTCTTTTCACATTTCAATCGTTACGTAAAAGAATCTCGAGTTCGTTCATTTAACTAATATTGTCCACTCTACGCTGCTCTTTACATATTGAATTAAAATTCACCACTGGAGGATTCAACAGAACATACAAAACTGGCAATAAAATTTAAATATTGGACTCTGTCAAATGATAAATATTGAATATTAAGTAGCAAATTGAATTCATTCATGGTTAGCAAATAGCGTGATTCAATTCAGTGCGACCGATGGGTCCCTTTATCTAATCTATGCAAATGAAAATCGCATTTGTCGAGCTCCGTCTGAGCTTGACAAACACAAAGCAAAATACATATACTACACATATACTAGTTACCCTCATTAAACATCGTTATGAATTATATTTATACACGAAAAGTTTTTACTGCGAAGACTAATTTGACTGACCTTAAAAATTATCTGAAATCAAAATAAAAATTCATGATACAAGATATTGGGTTCTCTGGTAACTAAAACGAAATTTTCAAATTTTCATCATTAGTTTACATTTCATTAGTTCAATCGCAATAAAAATTTATTTTTCTATGAGACATTACATAAACCACGTGGATTGAGTATGCTTCTCACGTGGATACTTTAAACAGCCAAAATGACTCACGTTAAAAAAAATCGAAACAAATAAATTTCATGAATTTACGCAAGGTACCGAAATTCTTCATAAAATGTTCTCTCAATCTCGTTAATTAGTTTACTACACCCCTCAAGTCTGTCCTAATTAGTTTTTGGGCCTCGGTAGATAATATTATTACTGCTATTCGTAAGTATACGCACTACAGAAATAACCCCAAAGAGTTTAGAGTGAAACGTGATGTATCCGTTATTCCAACAGCTCCGATTACCCATCAAGAACGCCCATACGGCATGAACCTTTTATGTCACCCTCACGATAACGCGAGTTACGTACAAAGCTTCACCGTTTCTCTGCGATAAACATCAATTCAAGTGGAAGCACGTACAAACTTATGATACTTTTTCATAGAATATACATATGTCGTTTGAGTACAGTAGCATAAGGAAAATTCGAAATACACCCTTTGTGCAGGAGATACACGAAAGCATTTCCGGAGCGGCAATCTTCTTCGAAATAAATGCCAACGAAGGTACAGCACGTACAAATATGTTTCCTTCGAACAAGTTCAGTTTTCTACTCGACTATAGTGTAAATATCGAAGAATAAGAAAAAAGATTATTTGAAAAATTTCTAAGAGAAACTTGAAGTGTTAATATTTTGGACTATAATTTAATTTTTATATCAAAATTTTAAAATTAGAATTCTAACAGAGTTTATTAGGGATGCGCTGATATTATTGAATGCTTTGGTATGTTTGAAATTAATAAAAAAAATGTTAACGGGTTATGAGGATTTCATATATGAATAAAACTGTGACACTGTTTTTTAGCGTTATTCGTAAATTGGAAAATTTTTGGAAATTAGGGGGGAAAGTATATACAGTGAGTAACTTTAATATTCGGACACTATGAGATTTTTACTATATTACGTTATAACTTAATTTCTAACAAAAAAAAATGATTAAGGATTATGATGACGTATACGCTCAATAAACAATAGCGTAAATTTTGTTTACATAACTTACGATAGTTGTTCAATAATACGGTTTAATTAAAACATTGTCCGATTTTCACGTTACTTTAATATTCGGACACTTTACAATATAGCGCTTTTTCCAATGTTCAAGCCGAGTTACGCCAAATTAGAGGACAATGTTTATTTACAAATCTAGTCAGCGTTCTAGTTTAAGCCTTATTTTATTAGTTATTTGTCGATCATCGTGCAATACACTTGTACAATCCCTCGCAAAGCGAACACGAGTTTTGATATACGGCAATTTGTAATACATATATCATAATGCCAAAGGAATATCGTACAGAGAAATTGGTGCTCTGCTTAACATAAGCAAAAGTACAGTGGGAGATATAGTCAAGCGGTTCAAATGCGAGGATCGTATAGATTTTATACCCCAAAAAGGCCAACCGAAGAAACTAGACGTTCGCGATGAGAGAAAATTGCTAAGAAAAATAAAGAAGGACCCTACGCTCAGTGCCCCAAAATTAGCATCAGAGCTCTTAAACGAGACTGGAAAAAACGTGCATCCTCAAACGATCCGCAGAGCTTAAAAAAATAGCGGCTACAATGGAAGAGTGGCTGGAAAGAAACTGTACGTGAGTGAAAAGAATCGAAAGAAGAGACTGAATTATGCCAAAGAATTTATTTTGAAGAATGAAACATGGTGGAATGATGTCATCTTTTCTGACGAAAGTAAATTTAATATTTTTGGGTCAGATGGACGAAGGATGGTGTGGCGGAAAAAAAAGGAAGAGTTTAAATTCAAAAATCTGCGGCCGAGCGTAAAGCACCGAGGTGGCAGTGTAATGGTCTGGGGCTGTATTTCGACTTTCGGACCGGGCGAATTAGTTTTCATCCAAAAGATTATAGACAAAAATTTGTACATAACCATATTGAAAAAAAAAATGTACACAGAAGTGCTACAAAAATGGGGATTTAAAATACGTTCAAGTTCTACCAGGATAATGACCCGAAACATAAGGCACGCATTGTGCAGGAATATTTGCTGTACAATGGTCCAAAAGTTTTGCAACCACCACCTCAATCACCTGACCTTAACCCCATTGAAAATGTGTGGGATGAACTAGAGCGCCGAATTCGAAAAACACTAATATCTTCCAGAGAAATGTTAAAAAATCGTTTAAAAGAAGAATGGAACAGTTTGAGTACTGAATATTTACAAAAAATTATTAATAATATGTAGCAGCGTTTGCAAGAAGTGATAATGCAGGATGGCTACCCAACAAAATATTAAAACAAGTATTGTAACAAAAACCAACCGAAAAATAAGTATGTGCATATGTAGTTTCTGAAAGTGTCCGAATATTGAAGTAACGTGGAAATCGGACACTGTTTTATTTAAACCGTATTATTCAACAACTGTTGCAAGTTATGTAAATAAAATTTACGCTATTGTTTATTAAGCGTATACGTCATCATAATCCTTAATCATTTTTTTTTGTTAGAAATAAAGTTATAACGTAATATAGTAAAAATCTCATAGTGTCCGAATATTAAAGTTACTCACTGTAGTTGCAGGAGAGTTATCAACTTTCGCAACTTTAATAGAGACTTCGTATACGATACGGCTGTTTGGACGTGAAAGCAAATATTACATTTTAATTTGGTAACGGGAAGCTTTTGCAAATTTGATACCTCGTTAACCATGGTACCAGGGTTGAAAAAAAGAATTAGGATAGGGAATGCACACTGAAAGAGCAAATTTGTTTTTGATTATTTCAACGTATTCGTTAATCGCTTTTGTTTACTATTTACTTATGCGAAGATTCTATACCGACTCAAGGTTATTCAACTCAATACCCTTGCATAAAAGCAAGATAGACCTGTTCGTCTATTTTAAGTACGCATTACAAATTCTACTAAATTTTTTTGTAACATTTTCAAAAATAAATATTTCTCTTTATCCTGCGACTTTTGTTATGCCCAAACTTTGCCCAAACTCCAATTAGCAAGATCCATATGTATATTCCATAAGTAGCAAATTAGAGACCCTCCTAGCATCGTAAAAGAATTTACTGGTCTTAGAGAATTTCAATGATTTCCAATTAATGCACCAATTATTTCAAATTTATAATTACTGTTTTCCACAAAACGATGGCTTAAGCGAGAAGCAAAGATGGAAACGTTTCATCTAATTAATATCATGAATATATTTGTAACCTGCTCAATTTTATAATCACCTTTGGCAAATAAATTCCAGCAGATGTTAAGAAAAGAATAATAAAAACACGTAATCGCCGTGCCTAAAATTCTCCACGAATTATCCGAAGAATTCATTTGATAGTTCAACTAGTATTCCTATTGGAATTCAAATAGGAAGCACATCATTAACATTTTAAACAATATTCAACGTAACAAGCATAATCATTAGCGTAATCACGTATCCTTTTTCAAACTACACAAAAGTACAATACGATATCCGCGTACTTCACATTCTGTTGTCAAATACGTATATTCGTTGCACAAAGCACCAAAATAAAAAAAAATAAATAAACAAAGCCACCGTTAACACAATGCAGATGCGATACTTGGCGCTCTCACGTTTACATTCGAAATTCCCTCATGAAAGAATGTCTCTCACAATTTACATAGAAGAATCGCAATAAAACAAGAGCGAATTGCGCATAAGCCAAACCGAGGCACGTCACCGCGTCAATTTTCCAGGAGTTCAACTATCAAACGTGCAGTCGGGCCTGAGCTTGTGATTGGAGCCTCCTAATTGAATAGGTACGCAGCCCGCGCTAGGATTTCCACCATAAAACTATGCTGCCCAACAGATGCTGGTCGCCAGTTAGAGTCTTGCACTGTAATTTTCACTTCACTTATTTCATTTTTTTCTCTCTTGACTCGTTTTCGGTTCGTGAAGCGCGGGAGAGTTCACGCCGGAAAAACGCGAATTCACGTTCTAAGGATACAAGGATGGAGAGAGAGAGAGAGAACGAGAGTGAGAAGAAACGTGATCCAGCCAGGGTGAGTGGGTGGCAAAGTGGGGATAGAAAGATGAGACCGGAAAGCACCCCATGGGATTACGGAGAGAGTTCAGATTGAGTACGGAGTAGTGGAGGAAAACCAGGAACATGCACGGCGGCTGTATGTCTACTGCCGTTGAACCTCTCCCTCCCCTAACGACTGTACTCCCACCACTGAGAAAACTACCCCCACCATTACCACTATCGGCACTAACCCATCAGAAGATTTGCTTGTTCCACTGGCACTATGCTTCGACTGGTCTTGCCGACGAATCCAAGATTGAGTGGACCAGTATCCTCCATCAGTGTCCGGAAAATCCAAAGCGCTGTTGCAACGTGCTTGGGAGCGACGGCTGGCGTCCACTGGCATTCACAGGCGTCAGCCAAGGCTGTAGGATCAAGAGTTCACTGATGTGAGTTACCGAGGCTGGGATAAGTTTGCGACGTTGCAGGAGAGAAAGGGGAGGGTTTGGTGGGGGCAGAGAAATTTAATGAACAGGAAGAAATAGGAAGGGAGGCCTCCCTTGAGGAGAAAGACCGTACGAATAGTTAGACATACAACATGATAATATAGGAGTTATAGAACGAGAAGTGGACGAAGTAAATAGCACGGAATTATATGGGAATATCTAGTATCCTCAGATAATATAGCGAAGGAGTGCTTAAATACATAGTGATTAATTATACATATACTATCCATAAAAAATCTTGGCTGGATAAAAATATATAAATGACGAAACTTTGTTATCAGATGGAGGGATATATAATGTTTTAAAAAACTAAGCGTTATTTGGAACGTGTACTTTGTGGTATATGGTTGACTTTTTTAACTTTCTTACAACAAAGGATAATATCACATTCATTTGTTACATTGCGCGCAAATTGTTACCGCGTGAAAAAGGGGGATATAACATATGGGTTAAATAGCGCGAAATCATGAGAATATTTTTCATTGTGGAATACTTTCGTGAAAATGGTGTGTTATGAAAAGGTTATACTGCTTCTACCTGACAGAACCGAGCAAATAAAGAGATGCTGTCTCAAGGAAATATATAATATTTAACCAATCAAGTGATAAGCGTGCAAGAGAATCATGTAATGCGAATGATTCACACTACCAGGGACTCGAAGGAAGGAAATTTGAAACCCAAATATCGGAACACAGAAAACACTGTCACTAAATGTATTTGACTCGATCGAAGCCTTCCGACGAAACCTCGGCCCCTGCGAAGTCTGATTTTTCGGTAATTCTCTTGAAAATTAATAAAATATAAGTAAATGATGAACACTGACTGGCTGGTGGAGGTGTCATGGCCACCGTCCATGCCCCTTTTCGATCATGATATACCACTTATTGCAATATTTCACGAAACGGTAAACGAATGTCCAAAAAAAGCTTCTTAATGGTTAAAAAATATGTATCAAGAACACACCATATCACTGAAAGCACTCAATAAAAAGCCGACACCAAAATTTTTCAATGCGAATAAATCGAGCTGTCAACCAGCAGATTTTCCTTATCCAGAACTTAAACTTTTTGCCACGGCAAACGCTACTAGTAGCCCGTGACGTCGCTACTAGTCCGAACGTGTGCAGGTCGCACTCGGTCAGCGATGGTGTGTTTTCATAATCCATCATTCGTTAGATGGCATTTATTCTTAATAGTTGAAGGTTTTTGCATCAATGCTCTATTACTTTTGTTCCCTAACCCAAGTACTATCTATACACGTACTAGGTTCGTCGTTCACGAGCAACTAATATTGTAGATACGTTTAATAGAGGAGTAAGCTTGTGGAGTGACTAAGATAATTCTCTCCACATGGAGAATAAAATCCCGCGACTATTACCGGGTTAATTAACATCTTTCCTACACTCTTTTGACTAATAACAATAAAATTTATGAATAATTGAAAAAACGAATTAACTAAATTTTCAAGAAAGATATCAAATGAAATTTCCATCAGAATTCTTAAATTAACGAGAATATGCAGAAAAAAGAGAATATAAAGTAGACATTGTTTGACTCAAGTCAGGTAAGACGTCATTAGTTGTTGCACGTCGTTAGTTGCCATCGTGAAGGAAACAGATAATGAGCCACATGCAGCCACGTGCAAGCTGACCTTTAGGTTAAGTCGCTGGAATAAAACTTTCATAAGTGTAGCTTTTCCAAAATTTTCATTAGTAAGTGATATACCCACGCTACGTGAATACATTCTCGTAATGGCTGATTACAATGAAATTTACTGTCTTCGAAGAGGCTCACACATTACGCATTTTAAGTATATGTATAGTGAATAATAAAGTATTTTTTCCAATTGGCTAAGAAAAAGCATCAACAAATAGTTACTGACTACGATAATAATCTAGACAAAGTATAGTATTTTCTAATTTTCAAGATTGCTAGCTGGACTGACGATATTCTATAATTTTTACTACCAATCACTTATTCTTAGTTCGTCAAACGTGAAACTTATGGACGCTGTATAATATCTCACTCCTTAATCAGAGTCAGACCATTGTACAGTTATTTATGGCTTGTATTTAAAGATTACAATACGTATTCAAAGTTCTTTTCTAAAGATGTTCTTAGCTAAGTACTTTACAGGGACCAGCAATTTTTACTCAAGTCAAGCTAATACCTTATTAGTTTTTGAGAAAGATTGTATTAAAGATGATTTTTCAAAATTCGGAATTATTCTACATTTAATTTTTATTATTGATTCATCTGCCTTTTGCCACTTCATTTTCAACAGAAAAGTATTCTACTGCACGTTTCAAATATCATTAAATTTTGGAGCTCATTAGAGAAAAGTAAATTGATTTGCATTGTTTACAACACGGTGCTAATTGATTTTGATAATAACCTTATAGAATAATCTATCACATTTAAATATTTAATGTATGAAATATTAATGAAAATCTTTAGATTTCCAATACGTTGAAAAAGTTTTTTGATTTCTCACATTTTTATGAAAAGTCTCGCAGTGACAGCCATAAAAATCCAACCTAACGTGCAAGCGCCAGTAGATTCTGCAAAAATTAATAACGTGCTTCGCGAAGCGTGCACGAACCTCAAGCTAAAAAGGAATGAAAACGAAACTTATGATTAAGGAGATTCTCCATTGTAATTATTTATATTTATTTTTCTTTGAGGAAATTACGATTTATTTGTTTCGTACGTCATGGTACACATATATGTATGTGTAGAATATTCGCAGGACATTTATATGTAAATCTTCAAAACTATATTCATAGAATGTTTTACGAAGGAATCGACCATGCTATTTCTATGAATAAGTTGTCACATGGACGAGGTTGGAAGCGAGGAAACTTCGCACCCAAAAATCTCGTAATTGGCTATACGACCAATTACTTTTTACTGCAAATTCTGCCTACTTTTAAATAGATAGAAAAGAATTAAGCACGAACGATATCTTATTATACAATAGTATATTCTATGTGGCTTAACATTAGTTTATGCTAAGTTTGGTTAGGTAAGGTGGAATGTTCAAATTTCAGAGACTGCGTAGGTTAGTGGATACGTATATCGTCGACGAGCGAGCGAAGTGAACGAGTCCGACTGAAGAGAGTATTAAATGTTTGAAAAGATTCCGCCAGATAAAGATGACTTACAATATCGTTTAATTATTGATGGCATATCGCTCAGGAGACAGATATTCGCATTTGTGTTCAATTGGGTTTATAGATGTAAAACTTCCCCCCGTTTGTTATATGTTAATCTTTCCCCCTTAATTACCATTGTATATCGTCTGAGCCATTTAACAAATCACATGCTACCCAGCAAACAGAACGTAAAAGTTGCTTAGCGGCATGAATGTTAGTTAGAACATTTTAATCGACCCACGGTGATCAACAGAGGAGCTACTTGACTTGTCCCTGGGGAAAGACTCGATCGAGTCTCTTGAGACTACTAATTTATATTTGTTGGATAATTGCTATATTTACGTAAAGCTAGAATTAATCTTTATCGATTTACCATGTATTAAGACCGTTTGTCTACGGTCGTGAGTCCATTCTTCGTCTCAAGCATCGACTACGAATACGGGTCTTAGGACAATACACGTAACTTTATTGAACGAAATTCGCATTTCGTAACTAAAAACCTCATTTCCACGAAAAATAATTACTATTGGAACATTTTTCATACAAAATCATAGTTAGGGCGTCATTGGTTGTCTAACTACAGCCCTGTTTATAGCTATCGTTATCCTTTTCTAGATGTTGACACAAAACCGACGGCTAGGCACTTTGAATAAAGAGAGTAAGGAAGGAACGTTATACTAAAAAGTAAGGAGTGGGGGCGTTACGGAAATGCGTTATGGCACGTCATAAATGGAGCTAAGATGTCTGCCAAAACGTCCTCAAGAGAACAAGAGCAGCGCCTCTATGTATTTTAAAATCAAAACAATTCATCGTTGCTATTGTGTTTCAGTTACGTGTTAAAGAAAGAAGTGTCAGTACGTGTATTTAAAAAAATGCAAGAATGGTGAGCTGCTGCGTTTGCGGTTTCTCGAAAAGGGAAGGTTATGGAAAATATTCAATTAGTTGCCACACGTTCGAATATTTTCTCATAAACTACAGTTCATTTTAAAATTCATTCGGGTATATGTTTCTGTTGAATATGGTTTACTATAATTATAATTTGTTCCTATTGTAAGGTAGGGGGAGCCACTGTATGAGTAAGGGTCAATGTTTCTTACTTCGGTGTATACGTCCCTCCCTTGGTTATAGCTAACAATAAACGAACGTGTGTGATAGAAATTTTTTTTTATCGTCGTTTATTATAGTCATCCTAACACTATAAAGAGATTAATAAAGTAATAACAACAGTTTCATATATTTTAAATAAAATAAAATAGAAATTTAATAAAAGTATTACAATGCGTAAGGTCTGAATCCCAATCAAATCTATATTTTATGGATTAAAAAGATATTTTAAATTTTTTCGCTTTAGCTTCTATATCCTTGATCTACATGAAACTAAAGATTTTATTTATATTTTGACGAAATGGCAAGTTCTTCGTCTAACTATATAATGTATATGTAAAAAAACTGTTATAGTGAAATACCTAGGCCCGATTCCTCCAACGTAGTTTGGTGTTTAAACTTGATCAATTAACAACTTGAACAACAATCAGATACTTGCAGTTTGAAAATAAACAGTATTAAAACAGTCTACGCGTCGGTGGAATCAAGCCCTCGTAAATTACATGTCTAACTACAGATATATGTATATGGAATTTCAATGGGCTCTAATTTTATAAATACTCCTAAGAAATTTTAATAATCTGCAAAAATACATTTCAAATATTGTGCTATTTCGTTACTTTCATTGACGTCATAAATATAAGTCATTTCTTGGTGAACCATCTCGGATACGGAATACACTCGTAACTCGTACACTCTTTCACACTTCTTCCCTACGTCTATTGGATATGTATATGTATTCTAAGCTAGGCTAGATTATGCGCAGTCTGGCGCAGTCCTTCGAAGTCCATTCTCGAAGTCGACGAGCTGGATGAATTCGGCTAAGCAGATTTCTACATTATCAATCGCTACTCACCGAACCTGTTTACATTTCATATCAACGTATTTGAAAGAAGCATAACCTAAAAAATACTATGCATCACCCAGAATAAGTTTGTTACGTATAATATTCAGGGAAAGGTAATTGAGTAGTTTTATTTATTGTTCATATTGCTTTCCTCTTAAGAATGTGCTTATAACTCAAATTGGGCTTCTGCTTTAAATTGGCACACTTTATAATCGTAGACAAAAATGTCGAAACGAAAATTGGACGAGGTTCTGAACGATGATTGGAAACCGGAGAGTACGCCAGTGATACAGAATTCATTAGATTCTGATGAGGAAGATAATGAGGCAAATGAAGATACGTACAATGTTATGAATGAGGATGACTTTGAAGGTAATATTACTTTCCAGAATGCCATCATTTTCTTTATATTTACTTGGAATAGTTTTAATATGACTTTCATCGCATTATAGGTACAGAAGATGGTCCAACAGAACCAGAAGCAGAAGTAGGTTTTACTGCTTTTAATATGAAAGAGGAACTTGAGGAAGGACATTTCGATAAAGATGGTCACTACCTATGGAATAAGGAAAAACAAATCCGTGACAATTGGTTGGATAACATCGATTGGGTTAAAGTATGTGTCTTGTGCATTTACATATAAAAATTTTACCTTAAACAGCTTTGTTTATGATCATTTGTGCATGTACAAAAAATAAGTACAATTTAGAATAACACATATTTTCAAGTATACTCTATAAACATACCTTTATCGAAACGAAGCTGTTAGACCATTTGACTATTTAAAAAGCAAAGCAATATCTTTCCAAAAGTTTTTAATAAATTTGGTTAGTGAGATTGCCTATCTAATTGTATCTAATCATAAGGGTGGACCGTGACATTTGATTCTAATTTTAGCTCATTTTAAAAAAATTATTTTGTTTCATTTAATAAAACTGAAATCTCATGTCATGGTTTGTCTTTAATTTACATCATGCATGCCATTATCATGTGCAATGTTATCACTATCTAAATGATTAAAGAATGTTTGATATTAAAAAACAAACATTTTAACAGATAAAGTCAGGTGGATCTAAAAACAATAAACAGAAAGACAACACACACGTGAAAGGTTTAGCGGACAGTGACAGTGACAGCGATGATGATGGTCCAGATATCATGTTTGATCCGATACCTTTATACAAACAAATTCTGGGATATCTAAAGCCTGGAGAAACTGTATCTAAAGCCCTCTGCAGATTTGGTTTGTTAAATAGATTCTTTATGTTCTATCAAAAATATTAGCATAAAAAATTTATATGAATTGATACTTTTGAGCTCATTGTACTGTATTGCAGACATATTTCGAAAATCGAATACTTTCAATTTGCATAATTTGAAACACTGATTTTAATCATTGTCTTTAAAAAGATTAGTTGTGAAATTTAATTTACTACGTTTCAGGAAAAGGAAAGAAAAAACTGTCCACGGCAGAGAGATGGAAGAGAAAAAAAGAGGCACAAACCACCGCAGCAGAGGAAGACGAAAATTCAGTTCATATAACTAAACTAACTGAACTTGCAAATGAATTGCTCACTCGTACAGGAAATATGGATATTTATCAAGAAAGTTATGAGCAAATTAAACGAAAGGTAATTTGACATTACAAACAGATTATAAATTTTTATTCTTTCATCTGCAATTTTCTTTATACATTAATACGTTATAATGTTTCATATGCGGAGTGTATTTAGAAAAAACATTAACAATGTAAATTATTTGAAAAGGTTGAATTAGGTGGAAAGCAAACACATCCTTCAAAGCAGGAAGCAGAGTTGGACATGTATGCAGATGATTTTGATGAAAAAGAAAAAGCTAAATTGGATGAAAATGATGAGAATAGTGGTGAGTAATAATTTTGGATACCTTATTTTATTGAACAATCGTTCATGAACTTTATTTGTAATTTGTACATAAAAATTTTTGAATAGTCTTTAAAATAATACATCTAATACCATAGCATACAAAATTATTAATCATAATAAAGTATTGATATATGTGATTGATTGTGTGAAAGACTTTATAAGTTCAGACCTGCATCATCTTACGCTATATTAACATAAATACTATATCACTTAAGGTTCCTTTAAGGTAAACTTATGAAACAAATTCCTGAGCTGTCAATTATACAGGGTGTATCTTAAGCCCCGGACAAGAGACATACCGTTAGATCCGGCGTGAATAAATAAAAATATTGGCTTTAACAAAAATAAAAAATTTTAATTAGTTTATTAATTATTAAAGATTAAAGTAAGCCAATAATAAGCGCGTGAAAACTGGTAACTTCTCCTCAGTCTCCTCCAATTGGGAACAGCTAATCATTTATTTCCCCACAAAAACAGTGACCGCTGGATACGTAAATATAGTAACGTAAATAAACAAAAGAATAATGCAAAATGTTTTTTGCGGGGAAATGAATGATTGGCTGTTCCCAATGGGAGGAGACTGAGGAGGAATTACCAGTTTTCACGCGCTTATTATTGGCTTACTTTAATCTTTAATAATTAATAAACTAATTAAAATTTTTGATTTTTGTTAACGCTAATATTTTTATTTTTTCAAGCCGGATCTAACGGTATGTCTCTTGTCCGGGGCTTAGGAAACACCCTGTATATGACTAGTTTGATCAAATTGTAAAAGCCCTTTTACTATAAATCAATATTTCGACTTGAATGGAATTAAGTCAGGCAACTAGAGAACGCTATATGTTTCAAATATTGACAGTATATGAAGAATTAAATCGATTAAATTCTAATTCCATAGTGTCAAGAATGTCTAAACATATTATATTAATATTATTTTATTATATTGAAACTTTTTCTATTTAGAAAATCAAAATAAAGATCCAATGGATACAAAAGAGCAAGAAGATTCTATGGAGAAGGAAGTAACCTGGGAACTTAAATGGTCTCTCGAAGAACAAGCTGAAATACATGGACCTCACACAACGCAGCAGATGCAAGCCTGGTCAAAGGAAGGATATTTCAAAAGTGGTGCATGGGTTCGTCGCACTGGACAGCCTGGACAGTTTTACAGTGCCGCCAGAGTAGACTTTGAGTTATACTTGTAAAAAATCATTGATACTTCAATTTTCTTAGTCCTGCGCGGTTCTGATTTATAAGCTTTTTGAAAATCAAATAACACCGAAATCGAAGGCATCCTTGACTTTTCGGAAACCTCAATTTTTTTCGAACTATCTGAGCAATCAAAGTTTCTTAATCTGTCATAAATTTCTTTACTTATCAACTACTGGAGAACTAAAAGATTTTTTAGCATTTCAAGACACAGACTGTTTGATAAACTCCAACTTCGTTTGAATTTTCTAAAGCATTTGTAATTAAAAAACAATACTTTGTATTATTTCAAATTTTATACTTTTGATTCTCTAAGAGCCAGAAAAATAGTATATTTGAGTTTAATGAACTTTTAGATTTCTATGTCGAAACTTTTAAGAAGCACGAATATTTTTGTATCTTCTTTCCTTGTTTTACATGAAATCAACGCTTACATCTTTTGAAATTTCGAATATTTCTAAATATTTGTAGACCATTCGAAAGTTTGAAAAATACTTGAACTCTTCCAGATGTTTTAGATGCACTACTATGAAGTGGCATTTAAATGTTGTACGAATAAAAATATTTACTAAAATGTAAATGTTTTATAATTACATTAAAATCTTCATTTATATTTTCATGATCAAATATTTTCAGCTAATATCCTTATTTGAAAAGACAAACAATTATGTCCCTCTTTATGGATCGGCAAATCAGTGGGCGAATAGATTTATTTAGAAAGAAACTGAATTTCAAAAAGAAGTGGAAATAATTTATTTATAGAATAATAAATATTAAATAGTATTTCTTAATTTTAGGCAGCTATTTACACTTCCGAATGACTCATTCTCCTTTTTTGCAGCAGTTCAAGTAATTTCATGAATTATTCAAGACTCCATCGCTTTCTCGTATTTGTCATATTAATTAATCTTAACCTTGTAATTTTATTAGTCTATCTAAAACTTTTGGAAAACTTAAGATGAGCCAATAACCTTCCGAACTCTTCCCACTGTTCTCCTCTTCCTTCTTCTACGCGTCGTTGATTCCTTGTTGGCATCTTCACATTCCGAGTAAAGTTTAGCACACTCGTTAAATTTTATGTCTTTGCCTTCCACTCGATATTTCTCAAGTCCATATCTATAAAAGAAAGTGACATCCGTTTTGATTAGTATAACAAAATACAATTCCTTCAAGACTAAATAGTATTTGCCACCCTGAACACGATCAAAAATATAAAAATAGATTGCTGTGACATAATAAAAATGCATTTTATGGATTAGGCTTTCAGAAAAGAAAAAATATTTTAAGTGTGGATACTGGACATCCGTAAAATTTAATGTCTTATCAACGAGATTCTTTCAGCGACTTGTATTCTATATACAGTCAACCGTGCCGTCATCAAGTACGCACAAATCTTACTCTGCGATGGCAAATGCAGAAGATGTTCTCCCGTAATAAATTATACATAAATATAATTTATAATCAATTAACTATTAGAGAAACAATAATAATAGACAAATGATAATTATTTATTCTGATAATTATATATTTATTACTCATTGTTATATTCTCTTATCTTTTTCAACAAGTACAATTATACAGAGGATAATAAAAAAATACTTACGAGAAGAATTGCATTGCATATTTCAGGACAGGAATTTTCTCCGTTTTTTTGTCCATCTCGCAAACGAAACGTTTTCGGCATTGATCGCTCTCAATTTCCATTGCGTTAAACATCAACTCTGCCATGTCCATACTAAAATATAAAAATTAGTATAAAAAACCAGCCCTCTCACATAAGACTTAAAATTCAAAGCATAAAGTAAATAGTCTGGTTAAGTAGATTTTATTTTTGCGCAATTAAATTCCATGAGAATAATGAAATTATGATAACTTTAATTCTTTCAATAATTTCAAGAATCCAATTAAAATAATGCTCCCTATTATACTGATAGAATTATCTATATAATATTAGTATTAGACATTTTAGCTAGTATTTAAAACTCGCCAATGTCAGGCAATTGCATAATCAGGTAATTAGTACAAACCTTTTCAGAATGCGATAAACAAAATTTGTATCGATGTAATTGTCAATGAAGCTTCTTGCATAATTCTCTGTTGGCGACCAATCACTCTCATAAGAAGCGTAATGCTCGTTGTGTTCCTCTGGTGGAGGTGCCGAATATCCTGAAAAAAATTTAAACATAATATTATAATTACGTCATAAACATTTACCACGTATAGTTTATTATCTATTATTACTATATTTCTATATACATCCTATCTGTGTATTCATGGATTTGCAATAGTATACAGACTCTTGCCTCTAAATATTCCTACTCAACGGCGCTCGTTTTTGCTCGTTAATGACATTTTTAACAGTGCCAATTACTGTCCAAGTTTTTCGTTGATATTTATGCAATTACACATAATGCTCGAAAGCCAAGTGGGCCCTACATTTCAACGATATTTAATAATTGTATAATATCTCTAATACCAGTCATTTTTAAGGAATGAAAACTTTTAATAATTTAATATATCAATCAAGATAATCAACATTTCAAAAAACGTTCCAAATCTAACGATTGCCCACGCGGAGACGAAAAATATTATAAACATTTGCTTAAAATTGCAAAAAGTTTCCTTTGTTCTTGTGACTTTTTCCAAAATTGATCAATCTTTTTATATCAGTTTGTTTTTTCAATTGCGATATTTGACAAATGTTAACTTACCCAATCCATAGGCTGGTTCGTGAATGACAGGGCAGTCTTTGTTAAAGTAGCCTGCGTACTTCAGTCCGCCAAAGACTTTCAGCGTGAATCCAATAATGCCAATGACAGCAACGACTATCAGTATGATCTTGATCTTGATCGCCAGGAAGATTGCCAGGCTTTTTAGCCCGCCCCCAACTGCGAAGGCGATAGCCATCATTACCATTTATTACCCCACGGCTTTGAATTATCATTTTTGTTGATTAGATATTTTCTGAATGTTACACGAGTATGGAAAATCGTTATTTAATGTCAACAAAAAGAGAATAGATATATGTAGGTACGCCAAAGAAATTCTAAAGAGGATTGCTAAACGATGGATTATTATTATACGTAATTAAATAAAAATAATTAGCCAAATCAGCGATAGCTAACTGAAGACAAAAAACGTATAGAGACTAAGACCAATTAGTCGAAAAGTTTTGTTTTTTTAAACGTTTTTTTTCTAATGGCTTTTAAATTTAGTCAAAATGAACATGATTATTGTGCAAATAATTACAGAAGCCGTGATGGGGTAGATGCACGATACTGAAACCGGACATCCTCGCTGAAAATTCGGAAATTCCGGAATTACCTATCATTTATGGATATAAAAATATTTTGTCCATCTATAGGTCATTTGCGATAACAACAAGTTACATATATGAATATCAAACTAGTATCACCGATTAATTCCCGAATGCAACCAATATATGTATTTATTGTCTGTTTAAACAGTACGCAGTCTAATACTAACACCATCATTCACTGTTATCAGTTGCATCTACTTGTAAAATTATTGTCAATGTATGTTACTATCACTGGACTAAAAACTGTTGGTTTATTTTTTATCACACGAATTTGATATTTCGTTTCACTTTCAATTACGCAAGGTGAATATATATTTTGTTCACTTCAAATTACGCATATATGATGATTTTTTCAACTTACGCAAAGAGAATGGATATTTGTGTTTATGCTTCAAAGGATGAGGCCCTTTTTTCGACGTGAGATCAACAATATCATAATCGTCATCGTAGTCATCGTCGTATTCGAGAGCTTGCTTAGCAGATGGCGCAGGTTCCTCAGCGACGATAACGACTGCGAGTATTCCCAGAAGTATTAAAACGCGCAAAGAAGTCATGACGAGAAAAAATAGCAAAGTAACTTACTGCCAAGTGAAACAGCCCGAATATATAGAAGCCAAGGAGGACCTTAATTCCTATGACAAACAGGCTCGAGCTACTTTTCGCTTTTTACTCGGCCAGTAACGACTTTGACAAATATTTCCTACCATGCGCCTCTTACGGAAATTCAACGGACTAAATTGTCTTTCTTTCTACATTTCTTGCTTGATTAACAGAGAAAATTACTTAGTTCCTTTTTTTCTTCACGGCTCTGTCTTGACTTTATGAAGTACTTACGTGCCATTTTGAAAAGTAGTGTTAGAATCTTTTATTACACGTTTACATCGGAAAGTGTTAAATAATCATAAATTTTGAACGCAAAGGAAATAAGAAAGATCTGTTTTTCAATAAATAAAGAGTACACCTATGTTCAGAATGGATTTTCTTGTTCCAAGTGGAAGTATAGCATCGATGGTGGTTAGTCACTATATATTTTTAATATATTATCTGTTTCCAAATTTTGCTATTACAGACTATGTATTCCTTGCTTAAACTTTACTGCCTTACGTAAACGATTTTTCATATTCTATAAAAAAATATTTCTCAAAAATATATATTATTGTTGACGAATAGACTTGAATTCATTTTAAAGGGTTGAAACAGACCCAATTAATTTCAGATGTAATATGTATCTACTCGCTCACTTCGTGCTACTTAATCTCAGTCACTTGTAACTATGTAATTCCAGGAATGAATGAATGACCCAAAAAGTTGACATATGTATTCCTATTCAAAAAGGACACTAAATTACAAATGCATGTCATTAACAATAGCCGTAATCATGAATTTCAGTATTGTAGTACTTGAGAATCCTTTGCAATCAGTACCAACCTATAAGAGTTTGTCATACTTGCGTATTCATGAGAATTCTTAAGTGAAAATTCCCGTGATTTTCGTCACTATCTATATATTTTAACTTTGGAGAGATTTTTGTTTTTATATGAATTTTATCCGAGTCCCTTATGTGAATTCAAATACAATTATACTTGGTTAGCATTTAATTAATATACTTAGACGGAATTAGCATTTTTATATATCTGAATACTGTAAAATTTATGAAACTGAAATTTCAATGATAAGATTTCAATAGAGATGATTCTTTGTCTTTCGTATCATGTGTGTCACTTGTGTATATAATACCTATCAATTGACTCCCGTTATTCTTTAGAGATCCGACTATGGCGCACCTAACCTAGCAATGTGTACCATTTCAATATCCACTAATTTGCGGTTTATTTGAATGCCCATTTATGAGGCCCACATTTCATTTCTGGGTCTGACGATGATCCGAATAGAGGTCAGGGTCACTTTAATACATTCTATCAATATCAGTACCGATGTTACTATTGCAAGTAATCTGTAATATAATTTGACTTTCCGTTAATAATTCAGCCTCTATATATCGGACAAAGCATTAAATTGTGTTATAAATTAATATTTAAAAATCCATGAAGAGAATTATTAAAAATACTGAAATATATGTGCCAAAAAATCCCATAACGACCATAATTATTGTTACACAATTTTATCACATTTAATTCTTATATGGATATTTGATTTTGTATCAAATATATATTTTCCAATAACAAATATAATCTAGCTCGAATACCAAAGGTTTTCAATTAAAAAATCATGAGACATTTACCATTTGTAATGTCAAATAGCAGGCTGACCCTTTCATATTGATTTAGAGAAAATAGATATTATTTTGTTTTACTTACCGTAACAAGACAAAGGGATATTGAATGGACAATAACACGACAGAGGTTTTGACAAGGACAGTTACGCAAAAAGACAAGGATTGGTTTAACCGTTACAGCCCCAAAGAAATCAAAGAGACCCCACAGTTTGGTTTCTTTATTTTACATACCCAAGTGATTAGATTTTTGTGTGCCTTGAATTATCTCGATATTTACTTTCCCCGATTAAACCAATTACTTTTTTTCATTTTAATTCGAATTTTGGGACTGAAAAGGTTAAAGGCAGGAAAACATTGAAAGTAACACAAAAGCAGACATTCCAGCCAATAAAGAAAAAAATCATGAATTCTGCCCCAGCGAAAGAAAATGAATTTCGTATACCTCGAAGAATGTAAAAAATAATAATAATTTGGTAGTCCAGTGTTACTCAATATACAATATAATTTTATTACACGTTACTCAGCGTTATATTATGTAAACAGATTCTGTTTCTTTATATGCAATGGTACGAAACTTTAATATACTCGCTTAAAATACCCTATGCATTATGAATGTATTTATGTATTTATGTAAGTATAATATGTATGTACGAACTGTATGCGTGTATGATGCAAGTTTCTCGTGTGTATATATAGATACACAGAATGTATCAAAGATCCTCTTGAAACAATTTAAATTTCCCGCCTGTTAATTAGTCATGAATTATCAAGAGAGTAATCAGCGAATATCTTCCTCGCGTTAAATTCTCAAAAAGAGAAGGATATTTTGTTTGCTACTAGGTAAATTTGATACAAACTGTATATATACCGAAGGAGTATAAATATATGGACCCAAACAGAGGTCGTTACCTCACGGTGGGCCTCAAAATACAAGCGAAGTCACTACCCTTTCCGTAAGCATCGATCAAGGAAAAATTAGTTCGATTGCATTTAACGAGTTATGCGCAGTGCACTTACGCACGTTGCGTGCAAGATCCATAAAACTGTGAATAAAAGAAACAAATTCATACGTTTCACCATTGTCTTTAGTACAAGCCTGACAACATTTCTTCGTTACGTCATCAACTGTCACTCTTCACTTCTTATTCTTGATCTTAAAAAAGAAAACCATAGAAAATTGACGTATAGATAAAAATAAAATGATTTTTTGGAATTGGATTTTAGAGAAAAAGAAAACATAATTTTCGATTTCTCAAAAATAGGATCCATTGTCAATGCAACCGCGCTAATTTTTCTACGAGCATACCTATACGCTACTTAACATCGTTTAATTTTGGCAAAAGACAGTGTGCTCTTGAAAGATGAGGAGGGAGTGGGCAGAGAACGCCATAAGAATTGGCGGACGAAGAGAAGACCGCTGGTCAGAAAGAACTCGAATGGAGAACAGTCAGATTAATTGGTAGTGGAGGAAGGGGCGGGAGAGGGGAGGCTGATAGGAAGACGAAGAACGAGAGATAAGCTAGCGAATTTTACACTGAGGAATAAGCATGGACAGACAGACAGTCGGTTGGACGTACACGTGGGACGTGAGACGCATGAGACATATATGTACAAAAATACTGAGGGGGGTAACAAATGCGACGAATCACGAGACGATGCTGGCCACGGCCTTTAGAGACAAGACTGGAATGACGTCATCGGCGAACTACGGAGAAGCGCGAAGACTCTCGAACTACCTTGAAAGATATTGAGAATTCCAAAGGACATTGAGACGTAGTCTCGGTGGTAATCGAAGCTAAATGTCCCAGGGCAATATGAACTACAGAATATCCTATGAGAGACAATCAATCCGTTTTGCTGAAACTTGATTTTTTTTTCTCTTTAATTCCTTTGTTCTAGAAGCCAGGCTGTTCTTTAAAAACCAATCAGAATATTGAGTTAATTGAAATTGATTTATCGTCTTTCGTTGCTCCATTTAGTTTTGAATTAAAGAATATACATTTCATACAAAAGTCATTCCGAATGGACGTTATGTATACTGTAAGAATTGAATGGTTACGTTAAAAGCCAATCTGTGGCAACTTCGGGTGTATTTCAAGATTTACAACGAGTGCTGCATATATGAATGTACATTGTCCTACTTTTTTAATTTCGTCGTGTATCCGATAAGGACGCAACGATATCCGCAGTACCCGCTATAAATTTTGAAGCATCATAAAATTCCATAATGAACGCATCCCGTCATTCGGTGCTTATCGATTTCTAACATTTAATATTTCAGCGTGCAGAAATCCGACATACATGAAAAAAAAGGAATTGAAAAAAAAAATCAATGACTTTTTAGATCATCGAGTTTCGCGGACATCGCATTTAAAGCTGAAAAACACTTTTTCATCACAATTCAATATATTTATAAGATAGTGCTTTCCATACTAATACAAAACGAATTGACTATCCTGCGTGGGAGAGCCTGTATATTGGTATACAAGAGAGACACGATAATTGTATTTATTTCCAACCACACGTTGCACAACAACGAAAGTACAAAATAGCCGCGTTCATGATTATCATTAAGAACATGTAAATTTGTACAATCGTTACAGAATCCACGGGCTGGAGATAAATGCAAAAGTCTTGTTCGCGCTCGTATGAACCACCCTGTATATATTTAAAAGTCACTCGTTACGAAGGTTACGGCAACGATGGTCGCATAATTCGAAAACATAAGTACGTAATTCGTACTGCTTCAGTATATTTTATATCCAAAACGTAACATCATTATCTTAATATGTATATATATATATATATATGTGTGTATGTATAAATTAATAAATATATAAATATATTTATATGCATGTATGTATAATATATATATATATTTATATGTTTCCGGCATAATGTTTGCTATTGTAATAGAATCTTATTTATTATTGCTTCAATTTACATGTTTTTGAGCCTATTTCTCATTCTCCCCCTACCTCCCTCACCCTCACCAGACTTCTTCGCACTCTCGTACATGTATATTCATCCGCCCATTCATCTACACACTCGCGATCATTCGCACGCTCGTATTCATACACTCGTTCACGCGTTCACTCGTTTTATTTGCTCGTGGGATCCTGCGATTAATTTCTGGTCTCTCTCTCCCCTGCAACCGGCTGGTCCTAATCTCCATATTGGATGCTGCTGTTGCTTTGATTCGATTTGCTACTACGCAGAAGCGTTTATTACTCGCCGGTAACGAAAACATGCGGTTCTCCTGCGGTAGCACCAATATCGCGGAAGACATATCCTTCTCACCAAATCTACGAGGTTACAATGTACAACATACTGACTGTACTGTGACACACGTGTAAAATCGTCAAAGTTAACGGCGATCTTGAAAAAAAATCAGAGCCAACGAATAAGATCGACGTTAAATCTTGTGAACGACCTTGCATGGGCCTAGTTGTATTTTTTTTTTCATTCAAATTCCTCGAGTCGTTTTGAATTTTGTAAAAATTAAAAATCAAGGTAAAGACCATCGTCCCTCCACGAAGCCCTTCAGACAAATACGATGTGAGGTTTCTGCTTGTGATAATGAAACGGGGCTTCGTATTCATAGTCCAGAGTCCTCGGGCGAATCTGGGCAGGAGTTTGCATGTGATAAAGCGAAAGGACCTCTGGTGCTTCGTCCTGTAACGTCACTACGTCGGCCACAGCGTAAACGCCTTCCTCTTGTCTATTATCCGAATTTCGTGACCGCGGCCGCGTGAATTGAGGCACGTCGTACACGTTGGCATCCTTGTTACGAAGGTAATTCAAATTTCCCGGGGTTTCGTAACCGGCGATCAGTCGGTGACTGTAGGACTCGGTGCTCTTGTCGAGTCTATCGCCCTGACCGACGTACACGAGGAGCTCGGGCCTAGGTGCGGTGTACGTTGATCTCTTTCGACGTTTCACACGAGTGACGTGTACCACAAAAGCCAATATGGCCGCCGTAGCGGTGACGCAGCCCGCAGCAAATAGGGACAAATAGAGTGGACTCAATCTGCATCGCAACGAACTTTCTGGCAGGGAGACCAAAGCTTTTCCAAAAAACTCTTGATCGGCACACAGGACGTCGTCAGAGTCGATTTCGAGTTTTGATTCGTTACGTCGCTGCTCCGAGCGAATGACGTTCCACAGCCAATGTAGGGAGCAATTGCATACGAATGGATTTCCACCGATTCGTAAAACCGCCATATTGTCAACTGGGAAGTGGGTTGGCTGTAGGGTCGCCAAATTGCAACGTCTCAGAGAAACCCTTCTGAGGTGTCTAGCACCGTAAAGTACTCGTGCTGGTAATTCCGATAGATTCCTATTACCGTCGAGGATTACTACCTCCAGGTTGACATTGTCGGCGAACGCTCTTGAATTTATCTTCTCTAAGTTGCAGTTCTCGAGCTCGAGATGGCGCATCTCGAAAAGGTTACCGAAGGCTATGCTGTCCAAGCTAGTCAAGGGGTTGCGACTCAGTACGAGTGCCTGCAAAACGTTGAGGCGGGCCAGGGCTGGGGTGGGCACGGTTTTCAAGTTGTTTCCAGCCAAGTCAAGATGGAGCAGACCCGGTAGACGGTCGAAGGAATCTACGGAAACACTTCTAATTACGTTGTTCGCCAGACTGAGAGACACCAGAGCCGGTAACGAGGGTAGCGCGTCATCAGCCAGTTCCTGGATCAGATTGTCCGAGAGGTCGAGTCTCTCGAGAGTCGATGGTAGGGCCAAATTAGCACCAGGTACTTCAAGCAGTGAATTTCTACTGAGAATTAGACTTCTGATTCTATGGAGATTCTTAAGAAGACCTTCCGGCAGACTTGTGATGGAGTTACGACTAAGATCAAGATACTCTAATTCACTAGTGTACTTGAACGCTTGCTCCTCCACTTCCGTCACATTGTTCGAACTCAGGTCCAACTCCCTGAGAGCCGCCAATCCTTTGAGAGCATTTTTCGAGATGGTCCTGATTCCGTTTCCGCTTACGTTCAGGCTCGTTAGTCGCTGCTGAAGTGCAAAATTGTCCGAGCCCAGTGTGTGAATTAGGTTTCCGGACAAGTCCAGACTTTCGAGGTTTCCATAGAAGGCAAAAGTTAGGTGCAAGCTGGCCACCCTGTTAGCCGAGAGGTCGAGGTGTCGCAATTCGGGATTCAGTTGGATCGGAACGACGTCGAGGCCAGCCGACGCGCAGGACACTCGCAGTGCCTCGTCGTCGCAGCGGCAGCGGGCCGGGCACAGGCCCTGCGCTAGTCCTCCCAACGTCGCCACGCCGAGAACTATCGTTATCGCTGCCAGCAGCGCCCTCTGGGAGGCGCCCGCCCGTCCTGCCATTCCATATGAGCCGTTCCACCTTCCCTACTGCTCTGAAAACAAAAGAAAAGTACAACGTTACATTATATCGAAACTTCAACCTTTTAGTTATAGGGACTTTTAAAGAAATCTAATTAAAATTAATTCATATACCATACTTCTAATATTTTACGGTATTCGAATTGACTCACTGTTTTGTACTGCAATAAATATACGAATCCATTTGCGATTCAATTTGACAAAACTTTAGTGGTTTACATGAAAAATTAACCAATTCGTAAACGTCCTTTACTCTATTCAACCAAGAGCTTTAATTTTTAAATAATATATGTGTATATAAATATTACTGCGACAATCGATTTCTTGTTAATTGCATTTTTACAGAACTACGTCGTCATAGCTGCAATTTGCAGAGTGTGTCAACACGAAATGATTTAACAAGCTTGATGTTAAAAATGTTTTTTCTCACGGCCAGGAGAAAATACTGAAACGAAGCGACTCGTTAGCACGTTGCTCGTCGAAAATGATGATTCAAGCGTAAAACGAACGAGGGGCTAATCGCTCGAACGAATCGAAAAGGTAGCGCGAAAGGTAGCCACGTGGTGCATCCGGGTCGACCTATTTTTACGGGTCCAGGAACAAACAGAACCTCCAAAAAAAAAGTGAAAACCGGCTCCACCAGCAAAGCAATAGAGCAGCATAAAACGGAGAGAGAAGAGTTCAAGGAGAGAAATGGAGGCAGAGAGAGAGAGAGAGAGAGAGAGAGAGAGAGAGAGAGAGAGAGAGAGAGAGACAGCTTTGCAAGCTTGCCTTTTACGTTTACCTGTTATTGCACAAAATTGCTCCGAGTCTATATACGGGTTGCAACTTTTTACGTTTTTCTTTCTATCGTTTCGCCACATTCGCCGTTCAGCCAATAGCACAGAGTTTCGTTTGTCGAGTGTGACCCCCTTCCCCTATACGAAGCATTCGGACGCATCGATAAATTGCAAAAGTTTGCCTTTCGAATTCTCATTTTGCTACAAAAAATATTAAATGACATCTTTACAATAAGCTAAAGAATTCCGTCTCGTTGCAAGCAGTTATCTCGTTAAATTGAATTGAAGAAATTGCAATAATTTTAAACTTTCAAGGAGGTTCACTCGTATCAGAATACAACAAAACGGCGATAGTAGAATTCTGTTTGCTTAGGCAAAAAAGAAATTGTTAGTATTTTCAATAATGAACTATCAAGCAAAAATCGGATTCATGCAAATTTTTTCTTTATCAATCGTTGCGCAATTATTTTATATAAGGGAAATGTGTATGCGATGACATATTTTTTCGTGTTGTTCACTATCCCGTCTCAAACGTCTTTCCCCTACGTTCAAAGCATTTCTTTCGAAGTAGAGCATCTTGTCGTGAAAAACTTAGCAACCTGCATAAGCGAATTTTAAGTATAAAATTTATTTCTCTGCAATTTATGTAATTGCGAAAGCACGGAAATAGCGTCTTCATTAGGGCATCGTCTTTATTTTCCTCCTTCAATAGTCTTTCTGGGTAAGTAGATTTATGTCATACATTTATATCCGAGATATACTTCGCACGGCAAAACAAGCTGAATGAAAAATTAAGGACAGTGTCGCAATTCCTTTCAAATTGGTAACGCGTGGTACCGTGATTTGTGAAACTGACGATCAACTCGTTTATAAAACCATGACATTCGCGGCACCGACGTTAATGGAAAAAATTCATTTGCCAAATCGAAATTGCATTGTAGGGGAAACTTTTCGATCTATTTTTTTTTTTAATTTGATACACCGCAGATAAATTCATTCGAAAAGAGTGCGCACGCATGTGCTAATGTAATCGGTCAAAAAGTTTTCATTCTCGGGTATCGTTACTAGTGAAAAGTTCCTTGGTGACTTTTAAGTGCCGAGAACCGACGAATCACCAATAAAATCAGTCGGCCGCCATCGTACGTAAAGCTTTGAAAAAGGCGAGGAACGAGAAGTGAAAATAAAATAAAGTACAAAAAAGATTATGAAATTCAAAAACAAAAAACACTATTTGCCAGGGTATTGCTCTTTTATCCATTGATAACTCATAGTGTATTTTAATGAAACTTGGAAATTGATTAAAATGCACTGCAATATCCCGATACGAAATTAAAAGGTAAAATAAAAAGTACCTAGTACAATCTCTTTGGTACCAGTGTAGTTATATGTATGTATGGTAGAGACGTGTGTTCAATTTTTCATCGATTTAGCAATGCAAACTTATTAAATACGAACTGTTTCCGTGTCCAAGGGTCGCGCAATATAAATGGAATCTCCTGCTAAATTCTGGTCGTGCTTTACGAGAGGAGGAGAGCGGATTAAAATGCTTCTGGCAACCTCGATAGAAGAGCTTAAGGAGATAAATAAATAAAGAGAAAGAATTTGGCTTTCTCTCAAGACATTCCTTCGTTGATGCCTCTATTCGAAAAATTCGTGACCCGATAAAAATCAAATTTCCCGCTGAAACGGAGTCTATCTTGTTCCAGAAAAAAATGTAACAAATAAACGAAAACTTTTCAATTACGAAAAGAAATAACGTATGTCGCGAGATGTTGATTAGAAAAATCATGTATTTTTTAATTTTCTCTTAAACAAGTCGAAAACTATACATTTAAAATAATAATTAAATTCAATCCATATACACGTAACTTCACTTCCTTTTCATTTGCTTCACCACAGCAAATCGATCCTTACGCATGGATATTTGTTATTTTTTAAATAATTTTCATTGCGTATAACATTAATTGCACATGTAAATTTAAAAAAAATTGTTTTTAATTAACATTTCTTAAGAAGTTAAAGCCTGAACCAATATAACTGATTAAAATTTCACACATTTATAAATATAAAAAAAAATCAAGTAAAACTTCAAAAAAATGTATTATCCTTCAACTTTCGAGATAAAAAAAACAAATCATCTTCAGATAATATCCACTATAAAAATACAATTTTCTGAGAAAATATATTTGAGGTTCTCTCAACGTCGGACTCAACATTACAAATATACAGAACGTATCCCAAATGTAGATTTAAACATGTTACACACACGCATAGAGACACACATACGGCAGAGAAAACGGTAGAAATATACTTTATCTACGGAATAAGAGGAAATAAAACCAAAACGAGGAAAAAAGAGCGAATATCCTGCTTCTTTAAATAACTCTTCATGATAAAAATCAAATCTCCCTAGTATTCTGTAGTTCGTCCTTTCAGCTCCGAGAGGATATTTCCAAATAAAGTGGATTTGCTAATAGAAAGCAGTGAAGAAGAGAGAAAAGGAAAAAAGAAGAACCATCCAAACGTATATCTACCTCGGTCCCTTCAAGAACAAAACAAACGTCTCACTTTTGCCACGTAATGTCCACGATAAAAATCAAATCGTTCACCGCGTTCGCAAGATACAACATAGCGTGTAGAAGAGCAAGAGGAGGACACCACTTCCTTATATAGTGGTCCACTTGCAGTGATACCACATATCTCTGATTTAAGCGTAAGAGGATAGGTGGTCAATATTTTTTTATTTTTTATCCCCACCTCCCTCTTGAATTTCGCGGATAATAAATGGCCGCGTTCCTTATGGCCCGTATAATGTACGGATTTACAGAACCGACTTACCCCCCTCTGTGGCAGACAAAAAAAATTTCACGAAATAAACCACCCATGCCATATGTGTCGTTTCCGAGCGAAGCCAGTGGCTGCGTATTTCTTTTTTACTTCAAGAGGTTAGGTTATGTCCAGGGAACCGGAACAATGTGAATTTTGTAGGAAAGAAACGATATCACGAGTTCTATGTTTTTTGACTTCACGAAATATGCGTTTCTTGAGCTTGCGTCGAAATGGAGAAAAAAAGGTTATTACGTGCGATTTTGTAAATTGCGTAAGAAATGCGTATTATTGAAAATCAATAAGGAAATGTAATAGGATTGAATTTTTTACTGACCCCTGGGATTTTGCTTTTGCGATTATATCTTTCGTATGACAAACTTAATTTATTTTTTTTTTAATATGAATATAATTGGATACTAATATGGATACTAAGAAACGTATAATTTTAATTTCATCAGTCTTTGCTCTCGCTAAGCAGTTAAAGTCAATTGGTATAAATAGAAGAATTTTTCGTATAATCCAGGCACATATAATACGTACGTATACGTACCTGTATAGATATATATATATATTGAACCAAGCATGATTGGTGTGCTATGCTTTTGCTTGTCGATGTTCTGCGCTATTTCAGTTATTTACTACTTATAGATTTCTCATCATTTGTTTCCCTCTCTTGTGCAGGTGACTCGTATCAATTTTCTTATCTTCGAGCGCTTTCCTAACGGAGTTATTTCCTAAAAGAATTTATATCTGGAGTCGTCACCAAATAGCTTAATAAAAAAAATGTACAAAGTACAAGCAACTATTTTCTCAATGAAAAACTTGTCTGTGAACGATAATCCAATTTTTAGAATTTAGTATCCTGCCATTTTTATCAGATAAGGGTCGGTCTACCTTATCACGATTATCATATAGACTCATTTAAATTAAATTCATCTCGATCGTCAAAACTACTGATGTCTTACTTTATATTATATCTTGTTACTGAAATTCCAATTCAAACAGTGAAGATATTCGTACAACTGCTGTCTTCTCGTTTGACATTACTAACCTACATTATCATCCGTGAGATAACCCATCCTAATACAGTAGCGGATTATTGATTGCTTGCCGCGTCAGCGGAAAGGTTTTGCGTTCAGAAATTCAGTGTCAGCGTTGAAAGCATCTTGGAAACGTCGCATCTCTGTTCACTTATGTATATATATAAACGCAGCGATGCTCTAAGAGCTGAGAGTAAAGTTCCAGTATAGCCACAATGAAACCGAATAAATCTTCCAAGTATTCTATACTCGTCTAAAACTATGAACACTGCTACCAATCGCCATGTAAATACAAAGATCAGATTTTTTCTTCTCAAATGTATATTTATTATCACCACATTTCCATTCAAAATTGTTGTCATACTT